AACCCCGCCGGCCACGCGCGACCGGACCCCTGGCCTGCGTGCCTGCCTGCCCCCGGAGCGGCGCCCGGTCGGGCCCCTGCGGATCCCTGGGATGCAGCTCCTCCCTGGGCCCCGGAGCTGTCCGAAGGGAGCTTCGGTGGGAGCAAAGGTGGGGGGGGGGGCGCTTCCTCCCTGCCCGCTGATCTCTGCCTTCTCCCCCCCAGGGATGCTGCTCTTTGCCAGGGGGATTGCAGGGACAGGACTGCACTTTGTGTGTGTAGGTGAGCGAGGGCGACCGACCGGAGGAGCCCAGGAGGTGGCTGGGAGGGGGTGGGCAGCCTGGTTGTGCAAGGGCTCTGAAAGTGGCACTTGGGGGGGGAGGGCATTGTGGCCAGGGGGGTCCCTCATTGCACAGTGTGAGGCTGCCTCTGCTGCAGGGACAGGGAGTGGCAGCCCCGGTTCCCCTCCCCCTTGCAGGCACCTCCACCGGTTCCGTCCTCGTCTTTGACGTCCCGTCCAAAGGCACCAACATCACACTGAGCGAAGTCCTGGAGCAGCACAGCAGCCCCATCACAGACATCAGCGCAGAGCTCTGTAAACAGCCGGTAAGGCCACGCTGAGCCCCCCCCCTCGTTCTGGGCTGCCTTCTCTGGGCCTGGGGGGGGGGAGGGAGCAGCGCTCACCCCCCCGAGTGGCTCTCTGGGTCCCTCTGGAGAGGCTCCCCGGCCAGGCCCTGCGACGGCCGTCCCGTCTTTCCTTGCTGCAGGAGGGAGCTGCGGATCTGGTGACTGCAGACGACTGTGGGGCACTGTGTGTTTGGGGCTCTGGAGAGACCTTCAGGCTGATCACCAAAATCCCGGCTTCTGAGTACGGGCCGGGCGGGGGGAGAGTGGGGGGGGGGCAAGGCAAGAGTGGGGGGAGGCAAGTGGAAATTCTGTGCAGCAACAAGGCCAGGCTGCTATGCGGAGCTCAGGGCAGCTGCTCAGAGCAGGGGCTGGGGGGCCACACACACCCCCTCCTCCCAGCGGAACCGGCCCTGCTCTGGGCTGGCAGGTCCAGGCAGCGACTTCCCACCCCACCCCCACCGCAGGGTGTGCTCAGTCCATTGCCCCCCCCCCACTTTGCCTCCGAGCTCCAGCAGGGCCTGATCCCTCCCTTTGCGCCCCAGCTGCACCTGCTCCTCCGTGAAGCTGTGGAATGGGATCATCGCGGCCGGCTATGGGAATGGGGAAATTCGCCTGTATGAAGCGGCACATGGGACCCTGAGAGCCAGGGTCAGCGCTCACGCCCGCTGGATCTATGCCCTGGACCTGGCCCCACTCTCCGGGAAGGTGAGTCCATCGCCCTGGGGGTAGTGCAAGCCAGAATCTGGCAAGAGGCCTCCGCGGGGCACCAGTCAGCTTCCCTGGGTCTCGCCCCCAACCTTCAAGGCCTGACGGTGCCTCAGCTGCTGCATGCTCACCCCTGGGCCCTTGGGCCAGGCAGGCTCTGCGGAGCTGGTGGAGGTGCCCCATCCGTGTGGGCAAATGGTTATGTGAAGGCCAGCCCAATCACAGCCCGCTTAGTGTGCTTGGCCCAGTTGGGACCACCGCTGGAAGCTTTGGCCCAGTCCTGGAAGGGTCGCTTCCTGTCGGAAGAGTCTCCAATCCAGGGCTGCAAAGCCGGAGGTTCCCCCTCTGTGTCTCTCTCCTGCCCAGCTGCTGTCTGCCGCCGAGGACTCCTTCGTGCGGGTCTGGGGACTGAGCCACAACGTGGAGACAGACTGCCTGGAGGTGAGCCCAAGGGCCACTCGGTTGAGGGGGTGGGAAACGCCCGTTCCTAGGCAGCCCCTCTTGCTTCACTCTCGAGGGAAGGCTTGGGGGTCCCCTCACACAGCTGGAACGGGCCCACCTTGCCCCAGGCCTGGTTGGATCAAGAATGCCGGCTGAAGGTCTCTGGGCCTGGGGGTGCCCCGGGGAGACCTGGGAGTGATTCTGCTTGGGAGCCTCGGGGTAGATTCCTTCCGGTCAGACCCCTCCCTCCGGACTTTCCAGCGCGATGACTCTCGGTGGGGGGGGGGGCAGGAATGCCTGAAAGGGTCCCACCTGTTTCCCTCAGATCGAGCATTGCCATACGGAGTGTGTGACCGACACCCAGATTTGTGGCGCCCGCTTCTGCAACCCAGAGGGCACGGCCTTCGCCGTCACAGGCTTCGAGCTGACCGAGATCATTCTGTACCACCAGGTGTAGCCCTTCGGGGGGCAGGTAGTCGCTAGAAGCAGAGGAAGGACTTCGCTTGGCCAGAGCAGGGCAGGAAGGCACACGAAGGCAGCCCCTGCCTCACCACCCCCGTGCCTGAAAATGCCCCCCCCCCCAAGGCTCTTTTGACCCAAGCAGGCTTCCCCTGGGGCTCCTGGCACACGCGGGGCCAGGGCGCCTCCTTTGGCCCCATAGCTCAGGTGTCCCCCCTGCCAGGGAGAGCCCCACCTGCAGGGAGGGCTGGTGCCGCCTTCTCATTGGCTCGTCTCCTGGCAGCCGAGGGGCAGCTGGGCCCCTCCTGGCGTCCCCCTCCCCTGCCGAGCTCCAGCATAGCTTGGTTGCTGTTTCAGCCTTTCAGAGCAAGCAGCTAAATTGTCTATTTTCCTGATGAATAAAACCCAGTTACGTTTGGCTGACAAGATAGAAAATCTGCTGCCTTGGCGCTTTTTGGAAAGGGGTTTCCCGCTGACGCCCTCCGGATCCTTCTAGGTTGCCGCTTAGGAAGAAGGGCCGCCCCAAACCCACCACCGGGCCCCCAGTTGCAGGGTGTGGCCCAAGGAGTGGGAACGCGGGGGGCTTGGAGCCAAGCAGCACGGTCACCCCCCGCCCCAATGTCCTCTTCAGAGCGGGGGGGGGGGCGCCCCTCCCCCATCAGGCATGAGCAGACTCCGGGAGTCACAATACAAAAGGCTCTTTATTAAAGGTTCCAAACAGCCCAACAGCAAAGTCTGTAAGAAACGGGGGCTGGCCCAGCTCACAGTGGTTATGCAGACGCCCCCAGGCCACAAGGGGGCCCGGGGGCATCAAAGCCCTTCGGTCCGGGGGTGGGAAGGTCACAGTGGCCCACCCCCAGGTCAGTTTGTGCTTGGCTGACGTGTTGAGAAAAAAACGGAACAGGTAGAAAAAAGTGAAAAAGGTTTAAAAACTGCAGCTCTGCAGGGCCCCCCCCTTTTGCTAAAATTATTGGCAGTTTCCCTTAATGCACCAGGCGGGAGGGACGAGTGGGCGCCCCCACCCCTTTCCCCACCCAAAGGAAAGGCCAATTCTGGGCAGAGGCCGCCTGCTGCCCGAGGCGCAGCCTCAAAGCCTCTCCACATTGCCCCCCCTCCGTGGACAAGGGAGCCCTTTCTACAGCTAGTGCCCCCCCCCCCAACTAAGGGGCTCTAGCTCCTCCGCTCATGCAAACCCCCGGCCTCCCCAAATCCCCCCCCACCGATCCCCTTCCACAGCACATAGTCACACCACAAACCCCCCACTCTTTTCTCCGTCACCTGCACGTCCACTTCCCCCCTCCCATCCCCCCCCCAGAATACTGCCAAGGTCAGAGGTAGCAACTGATGCTGGGCCCCTGTCCCCTCCCCAGGTAAAGGCATGGCCGCCGCGGCAAGAGGCACAGAGCTGCGGGTGGAGAGGCGGCTGGTAGACAAGGCAGAGGAGCCCCCCTCCCCAGCAAAGGCACCAGCAGTAGGGTGGCCCCTCCCTCCCTCCCTCCCTCCCAGTGGGCAGGGCCCCGCTCAGGAGACGTGGCTGGGCTGGTGGGGGCGCCAGAAGCACCACTTGCTGCGCGGATGCTGCTTGCGGAGGGCCTCCTCCTCCTCCTGGGCCCGCTCCTTCTGCATGCGCAGGTAGCGGTCCTCCTCCTTCAGGTACCAGATGGGGGGCCAGCGGTGGCTCTCGAAGTGGGCCCTGTTCTCTGGGAAGAAGCCGGGCCCGGCTGGCGTCAGCTGCGCCTGCTGCTCGGGTGGGAGAGCCCCCCCCCCGATGCTGCCCTTAAGGGAGCCCCCAACGGGACGGGTCTGGGCCGAGGGAGGCAGGAGACGGGTGGAGCCGCTCCCTTCCCTCGGCCGCAGGGCTTACCGGGAGACAGGGCCTTCATCTCGCGGGGGAACCGGCGGCAGACGCTGTTGTAGTTGGTGCAGATGTAGTGAAGGCACCAGGCGGCCAGCTGGAGGGCATTGTGGAACTGCAGGGAGGAGCACAGCCAGCCCGCCTGAGCCCTGATGCCACCTCTGGCCTGAGCAGCCTCACAGCCCCAAGAGTCCCTGGGGGTGGGGGATCTGGCCCACTTTGGGCCTAGCGGTGAAGGCGTCAGGCTAGACACTGGGTGAGGGTGAGTTCCAGTCCCGCCTTAGGCATGGAAGTCTCTCTCTCAGCTCAACCCACCTCACAGGATTGTGGTGAGAGGAAGAGGAAGGCGTGTTAACTTTCTTCGCCCCTTGAACTTTTAATGAAAATAATAAAGGTGGGATTAAAAAAAAACCCTAAACATCTAAACATCTAAACCTAAACAGGAAGCCCCTCCTCCACTCAGGGTTCCTGCCAGGGCTAAGGGGGCAGCCAGTCAGGTGAGCCTGCACCATACCTGTGTCATTTCCAGGTAGAGGATCACCTGGGCGTCGATTTCC